CAGTTAGAGGAGAAGCTATACAGACTCTTAAATCAGTGGGTGAATATACTAATCTTATGGTTTGCTCCGTGCCACTTTGGAACAATAATAGATTGTTTAATAATTCCATTAACGAACATAATAAAATGATGTTTGACAGGTTATGCAGTGAAAGCAAGTTCAGATTTTATTTTCATTTGAGCGCTATTATAGAAAGTAAGGACTTTTATTTTGATAACTTGTACATTAAACATAGAGGTAAGGTGAAAGTAGCACGGGCACTTAGTGGTAGGCTCTCAGATTTTATTAATGGAAGTGTGTCTGTGAGGGATTTTATAGCACTGGATACAGATAGTAGTGTTTTTACAAAGATTATGCACACTCTGTCTGATGAAAAATTAGTTGATATTGAGGGACCTTTTTTAGTAACAGCTCCCGTCAGAATCACTTTACCCTAGCATTGTTAAAAATTCAGTCTGTGCGTTCAAAGGTTGATGAATTGGAGTTGTTTTTGGAATCAGTAAATTATCCTAGTATATTGATTTTGGTTGAGCACTGGTTGCTGTTTGATGAGCCCATTGACGTGTCTGGTTATGTGTTGATGTCTAAATTTTCACGCAAGCAATTTGCACATGGTGGTACACTAATCATGATGGAGAGAGAGTTTTTGTCTAGGTTTATGTTCATTACTGTTGATAGATTTCATCATATGTTGGTTGAAAAAGATTTCGAGTTTTCTATAGTGTTCTGCAAGAAACACAATATGTATGTTTTTGGTTTTTATAGGTCTCCATCTGGTAATTTGGCGTTGTTTTTGGAGAGGTTGGAGATTTTGATGAGCGACATTTCGGTTAATTTCTTGTTGATTTTGACTGGCGATCTCAATGTGAATTTCTTGGAAAAGAGTAATAGATCCAATCAGTTACTGTGTCATTTTTGAACTCGTTCAACTTAGAGATGCACGTGGATCGGCCAACCCGCGTTTCCGCATTCTCTGCCTCAATACTGGACTATTTTTGCACCAATTACAATCAGATTGAAATTCAGTGTGGTAACTATCAATGCCGGTTTGTCTGACCACGAGGCAGTAATGGGACTGGTGCTGTTCGCACTCTATATAAGTTTATCTGGTGAAAAAAGCGTCTTAAGTATTTGTGCGTCGTAGGAACCAGGGCGCGGTTCTGTTCGGAGTGAATCTAGCGCCAAACCGCAGCGTTACAGCTAAAAATAAATCTGGCAACGCTGGTCATCCTTGTCATTTTGTCATTACTGTCGCTGTGAAGCGATCAATAAGCATCGAACAACAAACCGAAAAACACGTTACTCTGTTTTGTAACCCAAAATTATTGTTTTCCCTCAGTATTTTGTAATTTCGTTCAATAAATTATTGTTCAGGAAAGTGAACGTGACTAATCGATTATTTTAATCAGCGATTTTGCATCCGCAATAAGGTAAAGTGGGCAAAATCCAACAAGTGCCATTTGGCGTTGAAGCTGATCAGGGTAGGTTTAGACGCGGGAGACTTTATACTAGGGCAAACTTTTCTAAATTTTCTTCGATTTGCCACGGAATGGAATGACGTTCTCGCTACTGTCAGCCCATTGCAGCAGTTTCATCAAATGTTGCTGAGTAATTTTGAAATTGCCTTCCCTATTGTCAGTATAAAGAAGCGAAGGAGAAAACCCTGGTTTACAAAGGGCCTGCGAACTTCTGGAAAAAAATATGCGCCCCCTTCATTACATCAGAAAATTCTATATGAACAATCCAGTATTTTTAAACTATTTTGATAGGTACAGGTAGATTTACAGAGGATCGATCAGGCTTGCCAAGTGGACTTACTTTCAGAATAGGATAAATAAGTCTTGTATGGTTTCAGAGGAACTGCCCTAGAGTGGTTTCGTTCTTACCTGTCAGATCGCGTTCAGACTGTCAAGTTTAATGGTCGTACCTCTAAGGAACTTGATATTAGTGTGTGGGCGTCCCACAGGGCTCGGTACTTGGTCCCCTGCTTTTCCTCATTTATGTAAATGATCTTCCACATCTCCAGATAACGGGTAGATTCACAATCTTTGCAGACGATACCACTATCCTCTGGCATGATTCTGATGTTGGTATAATGGAGGCCAATATGAGGACGGACTTGATTGAAATAAAGTGCTGGTGTGACGTCAATTCTCTGACATTCAATACATCTAAGACCAAAATCCTCAAGTTTACATGGAAAATGTACCCATCACTACGCCAACGTTTAATAAATTCCTAGGTTTGTCAATAGACAGGTCCCTTAAGTTTAAAGACCACATTGCAAAAGTATGCAAGAAAATTTCGTCTGGTTGCTATGCTCTCAGAGTTATTGCTAATAACCTTAATTTCTCCATTGCCAAATGTGCGTATTTCGCGTTAATTGAGTCCCATCTTCGATACGGAATCTGCTTCTGGGGCTCTTGTTCTGACTATCTTTTTAATTCAGTGTTCTTACTTCAGAAAAGGGCCATCAGATACTTGTGTGGAGCTAAACCTCGGGATTCGTGTCGCCCTCTGTTTCTGAGCCACGGTATTCTAACTCTCTGTTGTCTGTTTATTCTGGAAACGGCCTGTTTAGTCTTCAGGAAGTATAAGTGCGAATTGGAGCTAAGAGGCCAATACAATACGCGCCAGGATTACGTGATGAGATTGCCTATCCCCCACTCAGAACTCATCCGTAGCTCTATCATATATGAAGGCAGAAAATTATTTAACTTCCTTTAAAGATCAGAAAGTTGAGCTTTCTGAAAAAGAGGCTTCGTATAGAAGTAAACAAATTTCTGATGGGTAAAGCATACTACAATTTGAACGAGTTCTTTAATGATGTGACTTAAGGTGTTACGTGTTTTGATTGTTCTTTCACCTCGCTTAGTCTTGGCTATTTATTGTAATGTTTTTATTTTTAAATTTTTATTGTATCTAATGATTTAATTTATGCATCTTTTATACATTGAGTTATATTTTAATTGTATTTTTGTTTTTACTTTTATTTGTATTTTTATGTCTGTTTGTTATTTTAATGGTACATGTATTTCAATTTTTGGCATTTACTCTCACATTTATTTTGTTTTTTATTTTAATACGTGTTATATTTTATTTTATTTTTATTTTTTATATATTTTTATTCTGATTACTTTACATTGCCTGCGTGGCTGCTTTGTACATAAAATGTTTTTCTTTTTACAATAAAGCATATTTTGATTTGATTTGATTTGATTAGCCACCACTGGTTGTTCATTCACGTTTTGTCGTGTAGCATCCTGTCCATTCCAGATGCATTGGAACCCTTTGATAGAAAGACCGACTTGAGGTGAAGGAAATCATGAAATACTCTTTGGTGAGGTCAAGCTTTTTGCACTGACTTTCGGATACCGCAATCATCTTGTACGTGAAGCTATAGAAATTCACAAATATACGGAGAGCTTCAACAGAAAAGAAGAAACACTAAAACTTAACCAAATCTGGAACCCGATTCTCAAAAACGCAATAAAGTACAGAGAAAGTTGAGTTTAGTCACGTGCCGGGAAGCCCCGCCCCTCCCCCACCACAGCCACTAACACATAAACACAACTTACGGTCGAGAACGCCTCAGTCTGCTACCAGAATCGGACATGGAAGCACCTCTGAAGATGCTAGTGAAACGTCAGGAAGAAATTCCAATTTTCGATTGCCATTAAGCCCGAATGAAAACACCGTATCAATAAACCTGAGCCTCACAAACTTTATAATAACTGAATTATACAATTTTTCACAATAGCAACTGTGTATATACTATATTCAAATCCGAGCCGCAGTAAATGACTAGTTAACAACCTTTCCTATTGGTTAATACTCTTACAAGGACCAGTGCGCAAGCGCGGAGGACAGGATTGGATTCAGTTGAAGCTTCTGTTCATTTGTTCACGTTACTACCGTTTGGATTTGAAAATAGTATGGAAGCAGAGTCAAAATATCTAGAAAGCAAGCAGTGTTTGAGCGGCAAAATTCTACATAAAATCAACAACAAATCTGATAATAATTAATCGTGCAAATATCCCTACATAAAAATCGATAAATTCCTTACCAAAAAAACGTCACTAGTATAAATCAAATAATGGTACACTGAAAAACGTCACATTGTGACAACGTTTCACCTGGTCACTAGTTCCCTAAATGGGCCACTGGTACCGTTAATAATAATCACAATCAACCAAACAAAATTCATTGTTTATTATTTGAAATAAAAACGAATTAAAACAATAAGCAAATTAGGGTGAGAGAGTTTCACTTTCTTTATTCCCGTATACAAAATAAGTTTGTTGACGTTGCTATGGGGGATGATCAATGGTTGATTGGATTGGGGGTGGTTTATTTTGTGATGACGTAGAAGGAAAGTTTTCAAGGTGAAACTGCGAAAAGTTCCATATGGATGGAAATTATTGTTTGACCAGTGAGTGGAAAATTTACTCTTCCTCACTAGTTCTGGAAAATGCCTTTCTGCATCAAAAACCTCGAAGTAGAGTGGCACTTTCTTCGAACAACTGCGACTATGTTGGAAAACTTTGATAGACTTTTCATTCGCATGAAAAATCGAATCAAATCAAATTTTTCTTGGACGATGCATAAGAAAAATACGTATTGTGATTATCGAAATATATTAAGTTTGTAATAAGTAAATAATGAATATTTTCTGATAATTACCTACTAATTGTCGGCTAATTACTATATGGCGAGACAAAGCTTATGAGTTAAACGTGGTCATATTCGTATACATTTAATCAAAACTTGTAGTACGAGCGATATGCAGTTAATTATTCAAGCTGACTTATTTTTCCATTAGTATAAGCAGTTCGTATTTTATTACTCAAATAAAGGTAAGCATTGTCCTAAGTCACATTGACCTTTGCCATTAGGGAACTATAATATTACACAACAATTTCTAGGAAGCCACAATAAGTTATTTTTTTCAATGGTGTCGAGCGCACATATTTTATTATTTGCTTAATCAATCTGTGAGAGGATAAGTTCAATGTATCATTCCATTAATAATTAACGATCTCAAAATCTGTATCTATAAAGCTTTTAATTGTTGTTTGCCAAAGTGAGGGATTGGGAAAAAACGTATGTTCAGATAGTGTGTGGTAATGTGCGAGTGAACATGTGGTCATAATAGGAAAAAATTCGTTTTTGTGTATATCAATAACCGGAAAAAGTGGCGTGAGTGTTAACCTTGTTCAAACGCTTAAAATTAATAATCTACTTCAAACAACTAGTAACTTTATGCATTTGAAAACTCTTTTTAAAAGGGCTTAACCTTAGTTAACAAAATATTTGGTAGGTAGGTACCTTACTTCAAACGTCAACCCAGTTTTGAAGCGTTAACTGGTTAGTTTAGGTCCAATAAAAGAGTTGTTTAGTGCGTACCCGAATATTGTTGACCTTCCTCGAAAAAAAATAAATATGTAATTAGGCATTATAATTTTCCGTTATCATTTGAATTGTCCCAAGCTCTCAAAATTAGCTGATAATTCTAGATAAAACTTAAACTTGGCTAATTTTATCAAGGACTCGGAGTTTTTGATTTTTTGGAGATTTACTGTAGATTTCAAAGGTCTTGAGGAAAATGACTTGCACAATATGAAAGACTGAAAGACATCAAATACTTTCCAAGACTGGTTAATTTGAAGCCTGTTCTTAAAAGTTCAAAGAAACTTGAATCTCATAATTTAGGACAAAGGTCTGAAAGTCTTCAAGAGTTGAGACTCAGTCAAGAGTTATTTTCTAAGATGTTAGACTGAAGCTGCAGCTGATTCAAGTCTCAAAATTCAATCAACAGGTATATTTTCTAAGAATTTAAAGTGAAGTTGCTGATTCAAAGTCTCAAAACTATAAAGTTTTTGATGAAGTGAACAAATTTAAAGACTCTAGAAACTCCTTTAGAGATTTTAAAAGTTTCTTTAGATCGTTGATTTAAAGACTCCAAAAGTTTCAAATTTATAGACATTGATGATTGTAAAAGCTCTGAACATTGATTTGGAATCTGTTGTGGATTTTGAAACTCTTGATTTAAAGTCTTTGGAGTCCTCTGAAGATTTTCAAACAAAATTTATCTTATTTTGAGGTTAAACAATTCTGGGTGATTTATCAATTTTGCTGAGTGAGTTTTTTTCATAGATTAGATTCCGGCTCCAAATCTCAGGATAATTTAGTGTATGGAGTTTGGAGGATCCCAAAGGAAAGGACCATTAGGACATAAAATCTTAAAATAAAAAAATTTGAAATTTCATTATTTTAATAAAAAGGTAGCTTATGATTTAGATTTTGGAAAACTTTGAAAGGTCATATTTTTTTTTTATTAAAGATAGAAAGATTCTTATCCCAGTAGGGTACTATATTCTTTGAAAATTTTAGCTCATTTGGACTTATAGTTCTAGAAATAAAATCGTGTTAAGCAATTTGGGGTGATTTATCAATTTTTTAATTTTTCTGAGTGCCTTTTTTCATAGAATCCGGTTCCAAATCTCAGAATAATTTAGTGTATGAAGTTTGGGGGATGCCAAAGGACCATTAAGATATAAAATCTCAACAAAAAAAAATTGAAATTTCATCGTTTTAGTACCTACTGAGGTAGCTACCTTAAGTTTGCAGTGGCGTATCCAGCCTGAGGTTCTGGCGGCGGCAAACCTGGTATGTCCGCCATAGGCGGAAATTTTTTTTGAGGTGCCACGCCCAAAAGTCTTCAAAACCACACAATCGAGTATTCGCTCGCTTCTCTCAATACTTTTGTAGGACAAAACATATAATATTTTCACAGAAAAATAAGGTAGTGCTATGGTTCCGTAATATTAGCCTGCCAGCCGCCACTGAAAAAATCTTTGGGCTGCTCATTATACAGGGTGTCCGGTAAGTATATGGCATACTCTCGGGAGCGTATAGTAGGGGTCAAAATAACCCTACTTCGTTCTAAAAAAAAAATCCTAAAGTACCCCTTAACGGAGATACAGAGCCCCAAAAGAGTACTTGGCGATACACATTTTTGGCTCTAACTTTTGAACCGACTTGTATAATTTAATGAAGTTTTGATATTTTATGTTGGCTATAAAGACTCATAAAATCATCCTACTGTAGATGTTTCATATACTCTGGGAAGTCAGGAACGGACTTGCCACCATATTCATTTTGCCAAATTTTTGACAGGAGTCATTTTACACAGCTGAAAACTGATTTTTTAAATACTTTGGTTATTTTTCTTCAAAAAAGGTACTCTACATTTACACCTACAATCATTTATCTTCGAAATTTATTTAATAATCAAGTCGATCCTAGATTTAAAAAAAAACAGGTAGAAGTTGACTTACAAAAAGTACCTGAAAACGACCCTTTTTGCTATAAAAAGGTACTTTTTATAAGTCAACTTCTACCTGTTTTTCTTAATCTAAAATCAACTTAATTATTAAATAACTTTCTAAGGGAAATGATTGAAGGTGCGTATACAAAAACCTAATTTTTTCGGAAACGGCTCATTTAATCGAAACAAATATAGAGCACCTTTTTTGAAGAGAAATGACCAAAGTATTTAAAAAATCAGTATTCAGGTGTGTAAAATAACACCTGTCAAAAATTAGGCACAATGAATATGGTGGCAAGTCCGTTCCTGACTTCCCAGACTCTGTGAAACATCTGCTGTAGGACGATTTTATTAGTCTTTATGCAGTGCCGGCCCGAGCCTACTTTTAGCATGGAGCGAGATCCGACTTTAGCGCGCCTAATTCAAATGTGAATCGTACTCGCATGAATTTTGCCCAAAACCTATAGGACCCTATTTATCTTATCAATATATCAATTGAAATTTGAAAACATCCATGTTCATTGGTACCGTTGGTATCTACTCTTTTCCTTTTGATACTGGATTCAAAGTAGAATGACAAGCAAATAATGAAAGTTGTATGAAAATAAGTGAATATACTTAATATTTACTTTTTAAAGAGTTAAGTAATCACCACTTTAACTAACACTTTTAAAACTAAAAATCGAACAAACAAAATACAAAATTTTAGGTAAATCGCTGTTTGCGCACTTTTGTATTTGCCAATTTGTATGATCTCCTCATATGACAATGTCTGAGCTATATCATATTATCCAATGGACAGCAAGGCCAGATCAGAAAGGTTGTCTTCTGCTAGAGTTAACCCTTAAGGTTTCACGTTGCGTTCGGAATTTTGCTTAAAGAGCAGAGCGTGCTGAAGCGGAGCAGTAGCGCACAGACCGCGAATGAGCCTACACCGAGCCAACTTTTTAAATAAACGAACAGTAAATTCAAGCTACTCGGAACTCAGATCATGATACTAAACGCCACGGTTAATTAACCTAAGCTTGCTAAAGCTCCGTCCATTTTCGCCGCCAACAGGAATGGTAACAACAAAAAAGAAGTGCTGTCCAGATATTAGGGAACTTATCTTGCCAATTATTTAATGCTAAGGTCTGAAGGACTGCCTTTGAGCGTTGATTTGAGTGACCTCTATCACTATCTTAAAACTTCTCCAAACACATTATTTTCTCTTTTAGGGCCGGTTTATTCACCTTTTGATAAACTGTCGAACAATGCAATCTGACGGATAGCAAGCCAATCGGCAATCCCTTTGGTCGGCCAGTTATCCGTCGACCAATAGGATTATAGATTCGTAAATTTGTCTTGCAGACAGTCATCAGAAAATGTATCTGGAAATGAAGAAACCGGGCCTAAACGTTTTATGGGATTCACATACTAACCACGCGCTTGCTTGCAAGCAGAATAGCAGGATATGGGAAAGCGAAGACAGGATTCAAAGCAAAAATATATTTTTCTTTTTTTTATATTTATCATCAACGATTCGGAGGCGCCCCCCGAAGTCTGGCGCCTGGAGCGCTCGCTCCATTCGCCTTATGGTAGGGCCGGCCCTGTCTTTATGGCCAACATAAAATATCAAAACTTCATTAAATTATACAAGTCGGTTCAAAAGTTAGAGCCAAAAATGTGTATCGCCAAGTACTCTTTTGGGGCTCTGTATCTCCGTTAAGGGGCACTTTGGGATTTTTTTTTTAGAACAAAGTAGGGTTACTTTGACCCCTGCTATATGCTCCCGAGAGTATGCCATATACTTACCGGACACCCTGTATAACGATAAGAGGTTGATAACTGGAATTATTTGGTTTTCTGAGAAATCGACTTTCAAGAAACAAGTAACATGTGGAACATAAAACGCTGTGTCTAGAATCCCGGTACCGGTAACACATTTTTTACCGGTAGTTTTGATGGCGTCATCCATATGAGGCAATTGTACCGGGATTTAAGTGAATCCCGGTGTTTTGATTCTGTTTTTATGGATATTTATCAGCTGATTGGTATTTTAGGTTAGTTTAATGCAATGGTTCAATGATGTTTTCGTCACTTTTTCGAAACAATATCATACAAATGATTTGCGTTCGGAATGTCGAACAGATTATCCCAGATTAGGCCGGGGTTATCCAATTCCTTAATTCTTAATTTTTGTTCTTAATGCTTAATCTTTAAAAACCCCAATGTTAAATAAATTGAACTTTTTAAGAATTAAGAATTAAGGTCAAATATTAAGAATTAAGGAATTGGGTAACTCCGGCCTTTAGAAGTAATCTGCGATCAGATGATAGTAAACTATCTAGGGTTGTTGTTCCCAAAAACCTCTGAGAATTTAAATAAATTTAAAATGATGTCACTTTATCTAGCAAGCAGTTTATTATCGAATTTCTTAATGAACTTTAAGCCAATATGTAACTATAGTGTTTAGAATGTAAATTTTTCCAGTACTTGGCAAATGTCTTTTTCCCATGCACTCTTCAACTTCTTTATGACTTTTAAATGTTTGTCCTACATTAAAAACTATTTTAAAAGTAATTTCACGTTGAAAAACTCAGGAAAACATTCCACTTTACGTTCACATATCAACAAGACAGCTTAAAAACATAAAAAGTTAAGTTAAGTTGGACTTTGATAAAACAGAAACCGCCAACGCCAACGACTACATATTTCACCGGGATTTGGTTAAATCCCGGGTACCAAGTGCGTCATATGGGTGACGTCATCAAAACTACCGGTAAAAAATGTGTTACCGGTACCGGGATTTTAGACACAGCGAACATAAAATCAAACTAAAATTTAATTCAATAGTCAAAGATATACAGGGTGCGGCACGAAAAACTTCCCACCCAGGTTTTCTCAGGTGTCAGGTGATAAATCAAAAATCGCTCGGATACATCACTTTTTGTTTTTGAGGGACTTTATTTATTGATATTTTACCCCTTACGTGTGAACTCCTAAGCGGGGGTGACAGGTACTTTGTCATTTGTTAGCTATTTTTATTAAGATTATATCCCCAAAGTTTCAAATTGCTACTATCAACCCTGTCGAAATAGCTTGTCAAAGCTGTGTGTTTTTTACCTTATATTAACAAATTAACATATTTTTCAAGTGAATAAACATGAACCATTTTGAACTGAACTGTTGAATGACGATACTTAGATTAAATGCCAATGTTATTTTATTACTAAGGATAGGTACCCTTCAAAAATCTGTTGTTTTGTTATGTGGTAAAAATCACACAGTTCAGATACTCGGAAAAAAGCATTTTTCCTAACTTTGACACACTGCCATTTCGGTAGAGAAAATAGTAGCAACTTAAAACTTTGAGGATATATAATTCTTACATAAATAGCTACCAAATAAAAACTTTTTATTTACGACTAATGTATAATGTGCGTATTATATTTGTGATTTTGGCAGTATAATGACATATGTTATTCCTCCAGGGATTAATGACGAGTAGCGGGATTAATGGTCATTATTCCACAAAAGTGTCAGTGTCAAACGTGCAGTGCTTGTGGATTTGTATTGAAAATTATGAGACGGATGAAATTTGTTCATAGAAAATCTCAAATAAATTAATTTGTCGTAAATAAAGTAGAGTATACTACTCGCAATAATGGCTATTATTCCCTCGGAATGTTACTCCCTCGCCGCTAACGCGGCTCAGTTCGTAATAATCCTTGGGAATAATAGCTATCATTATTGACTCGTGCTATAATCTACTATTATTAAATAATGGATAGATATAGGTTTTTTCTTATAAGATTCCCTAAAGTGAACATTCAATTCCTGACTTATGTTGAAATAAAAATTATATTATGCGAATGATGATAAGTAGGTTCTTATAATAATAATGTCGTAAATAAGATAACTAAATCTATGTGCCTCTTAGATAAGAGATCTTTTTCTCTACTTATTATGCAATAATTTGCAATTTATCTTAGTCCTTTTTTCATAGATTTCGGCTTTAAATCTCACAATAATCTACTTTATGGAGTTTAGGGGGTCCCATTTAAAGACAAAATGTCAAATCCCCAAGGATCTTGATTGGACTTAGGATTCTTATCCTAGTGGAGAACTATAATCCCTGAAAATTTCAACTCATTTGGACTTATATTTCTAGAGATCAAATAGCATTAAACAATGTGGAGTGGTAAATTTTTCAATTTTTCATTTTTCCTGACGTCCTTTTAGAGGGTCCCAAATGATCATTTCAAGATAAAATCTCACACGTCAGGATGTCAAATATTGCTTCCAAATCTCTACAAATATTTAATTTGCATTTTAGATTATAAGCTCCTGCAGAATAACAAATTTCTTATGTACCTACCTATACTTAAAATACAAATAAAAAATATCATTGTCTTCAAGTATTTGCTTTTTGTACGTTAACATCTAATCTCCCAACTTCGCACCTCACAAATCTGTAAATTTCATGTCAAACTATAATAATCTATTATCTATGCGGTATACCATTGATAAATGAGTATAGGTACCTACCTACTACATACAAAAATCTGAAAAACCTCTTCACAAATTCTTACGTTGTTCGTTGCATTGTCTTTTATCATCAAAAACAAACATTATCTTTATTTGCAAAATAATTAATTTAGTAGGACAATTCATTATCTGTTTCAGTACCCTTCCAATGAAAGCAATGAAAACGTGGCACTAACATGGAAGATCACAGAGATGCAGAAACAAGGAAAAGCACTAAAAAGGTCCATCCTTTTGTGAAGGCAAATATTTTTTCAAAACTGTTCTTCACGTAAGTATTTTTGTTTCGCTATATTATTTTTCTTTACCTACCTAAAACTTTTAGATGGACATTTCCACTATTCGTCAAAGGATTTAAACGTGACTTGGTCGAAGACGATCTTTTTACCCATTTGGAGTCTCACGAGTCCACTTACCTGGGCAACAAACTAGAAAGAGAATGGGAAAAAGAAATTGCGAAAAATCCAAAATCTCCTTCGTTGTGGAAATGTTTAAACAGAGTTTTCGGCAAACAATTGTTAACTTTGGGACTGTTCTATTTAGTAATAGAATTATGTGTGAGACTTGGCCAACCTTTGTTCTTAGCCCAATTCCTACAATATTACGAACCAGACTCCACAATGACCAAAACCGAAGCCTACTATTACGCCCTGGCTATAGTAATGTGTTCATTACTATCACAAACCTTCAATCATACTTTTATGTTACATAATTTCCATTTAGGAATGAAAATCCGAGTTGCCACGTCGGCTTTAGTCTATCGAAAAGCCTTGAAATTAAGTAACGGGGCCCTAGCAGAAACTACTGTGGGTCAAATGGTGAATTTAATTTCAAATGATGTTGGACGATTTGAATCAGCCCCCACGCATTGTCATAGTTTATGGATGGCCCCATTGGAAACTATAATTGTTTTGGTTTTGATTTATTTTTACGTTGGGGTCAGTGGAGTTGTTGGAGTTATTGTAATGTTCCTATTTGTGCCTTTACAAAGTAAGTTTTTTTTAAGTTTAAGTAAAGTAAAATTATCGCTTTTTTTTTAAGTGTGGCTGGGTAAAAAAACTTCAGAATTCCGTTTGGCCACTGCGTTAAAAACTGACGAAAGAATTCGATTGATGAATGAAATCATTTCGGGAATTCAAGTAATTAAAATGTATACGTGGGAAAAACCTTTTGCCAAACTTGTAGAATTCACTAGAAGGTAACCAAAATTAAAAATATATACAAAAAAAAAAAAACTTAAAACTTATTTATTATAGACGTGAAATTACTCAAATTCGTAAGATCTCAGTAATCAGAGGCATTATGATGTCTTTCAATATGTTCCTTAACAGAGCTGCCATCTACATATGCGTCTTAACGTATGTCCTAATGGGAAACACACTAACCGCTCAATACGTTTACGTATTACAATCCCTATATGGAGTTCTAAGAATGTCTGTTACAATGTTTTTCCCTCAAGGCTTGACACAAATAGCAGAAGCTAATATTTCAGTGAGGCGTATCAAAAAATTCCTCCTCTACGATGAAGTTGACTTTGATTCAAGTGCAACATTTTACAATGCCTTACAATCAAAAAACGATCTTAAAGGGACTCAAAATGGGTTTTCAAAACTCGATGGACCAGTTAAGATTAGTATTGAAAATGCCTCATTTAAATGGATCAAATCAAGACCTGAAAACAATTTGGAAAATATTAATTTTGAAGTTGGTGCCGGACAATTGGCAGCTGTAATTGGTCCTGTTGGTAGTGGAAAAACTTCACTTTTACATGCTATATTAAGTGAATTAGCTCCTCAATCAGGCTCGGTTAAAATAACTGGAAAATTGTCGTATGCTTCCCAAGAACCATGGCTTTTCGTTGGGAGTGTAAGACAAAACATCACTTTTGGTCAAAAATTCGATGCCAGAAAGTACCATGAAGTTGTAAGAGTTTGTCAGCTGCAAAGAGATTTCACCTTATTTCCTCATGGAGATAAAACAATTGTGGGAGAAAGAGGAGTGTCTTTGAGCGGCGGTCAAAGAGCTAGAATCAATTTGGCAAGAGCTGTTTACAAGGAAGCAGATATTTACTTATTAGACGATCCATTGTCAGCTGTAGATGCTCATGTAGGCAAACAAATGTTCGAAGAATGCATCACGGGCTACTTAAAAAACAAATGCGTTGTATTAGTAACCCATCAACTTCAGTATTTGAAAAATGTAGAAAGAATTTACTTGTTTGGACATGGAAAAATTGATCATACAGGAAGTTATGAGGAAATTCAAAATGCTGGAACTGAATTCACTGATTTGTTGAATGATCTCAAAGATATTTTAGATGAAGGAGATGATGATGAGGAAGATGATGAAACTATTATTGGAGATGTTTTGCCTGTCAAAAGGATTAGAAGGATTTCTACTAAAGAAGTGATACCAAAGGAGGAAAAAGATCCTAAATTGGAAAAAGAAGGTAGAAGTGGAGGAAAAGTTGGATGGCCAATTTACAAATCCTACTTCCTCTCTGGAGGTCATTGGTGCAAAATACTGACACTTTTTGTTATTTTTGTTTTGTCACAAGTTTTTGGCAGTGTTGTAGACTATTTCTTAAACATTTGGGTCAATATGAATCAAATTAGAAAAGCTGAAGCTGCAAGTGCAATAAGATTGAACAATACTATTACCAATGATACTTTTCCTCTGGAAAATGATACCACCACAATAGAATTCAATCACACTCCGTTCCAAGAATTCTGGATGACTTACATGGACAATCGCGTGTCGCTAATCTTCTACAGTGCTTTAATATTTGCAGTGATCACAATGACCTTAGGCAGATCATTGGCGTTTTACAGATTCTGCAATAAGGCCTCAATAAGATTGCACAACAACATGTTTTATAAAATCGTCTATGCAACCATGAGGTTCTTTAATACGAATCCATCTGGGAGAATTTTGAATCGGTTTTCAAAAGATATGAATCAGGTCGATGAAGTTTTGCCTGCAACTTTGCTCGACACTCTACAAGTAAGTGATTCTACATATTTGATTTCGAAAAATTTAGTTTTCAATTTCCAGATTGCTTTAACAGTGATAGCAATCACTGTTGTGGTTGCTTCAGTGAATCCATGGATGCTACTACCTACTCTCATAATTTTAACCATTTTCTACTTTTTGAGAGTGATATTTTTAGCTACAAGCAGGGACATTAAAAGACTAGAAGGAATAAGTAAGTTTATAAGATGCAACCGCAATTAATGTGGCTGAAGTTAGCTTCATATTCATATTCAGATTCGTGTATATTACAGTCGACCAGGTGATTATATTGAAAAGAAAAATTATTTCAAATAAAATTATTATATTATGAAGGGGATTTGTGGGATTCGGAAAAGGTAGAAATAACCCTTAGGCACATTCCAGGATATTTTCTCCAGTCAAGTTAGGTCTGGCAGAGTCACTACGGGGGAAAAACGATGATTTATTTGAAAATTGGTGGAAAATAATGATGCTTTGTAGGGATTTTTTAAAATTTGAGGCAAATAGACTTGACCCTTAAGCACATTTAAGAATAGTTATTGTAATCAAGTTAGGTCTGGGAGAATCATTACGGGGGCAAGTCGATAATTCGTTGGAAAAATCGTGAAAAATTAATGATGCTTTGTAAGGATTTTCTGAAGTTTCAGGATGATAGAGTTGACTCTTGCACAGTCCAGAAGATTTTTACAGTCCAGTTAGGTCTGGGAGAGTCATTACGGGGGTAAGTCGAAAGGATAACGCATACCTAACATGGGATTTTTAGGCTCTATGGATTTTGCTCATTTTTTGATATGTTGTAGAGGATTTAATTCTGAACAACCTTTAAATGGGACGAAATCTTGTAGATAATACGGTTTTTGAGATATGAGCGTTGAAAGATTGCAACTTTTCGTGTGGAGAGTAGGTATACGAAAAACTGGTGTTTATCAGTCAAAGTTTTGACAGGTCGACATATTTCACGTCACTAACAAATGTCAACATAGGCTAAGGCCGGGACCGCACTGGCGCCATCATTGACTCCAGTACGGTCCCGGCCTTAATCTAAGTTGACATTAATTTTTAAGTGACGTTTAATATGTGAACCTGTCAATATTTTGACTGATAAACATCAGTAGCACCCAATGAACTATAACCAAAAACTGGAATGCGAACACATATTGACGAACGTGAAGCCTAAGTGCCGCTGCTGCGGAGGGGATACCTGTTTTTGTCGCACTCATTATGTTAAATGGCGGAAATTGCTTCCAACACGTATTCCAATTGATGAAACCTGTGAAGGTAAATATGACAAAACTTTCCAAAACGTCATATGTCAGCGAGCAACAGAAAAAAACAACATTCCCCTTTGTGGCATCTGTCTTTCATGGCCTCATTTTTTTGGCAGATACCGCAATGTGTGCGCATTCCAGTTTTTGGCTATAGTTCATTGGTAGCACCCAATGAACTATAACCAAAAACTGGAATGCGTACACATATTGACGAACCTGAAGCCTAGTGCCGCTGCTGCGGAGGGGATACCTGTTTTTGTCGCACTCATTATGTTAAATGGCGAAAATTGCTTCCAACACGTATTCCAATTGATGAAACCTGTGAAGGTAAATATGACAAAACTTTCCAAAACGTCATATGTCAGCGAGCAACAGAAAAAAACAACATTCCCCTTTGTGGCATCAAGTGGCATCTATCTTTCATGGCTACATTTTTTTGGCAGATATGGCAATGTGTGCGCATTCCAGTTTTTGGCTATAGTTCATTGGCAGCACCAGTATCTCGTATACTCTTCACACAAAAAGTCGCAAAAAAATTCATCTTTCAACGCTCATATCTCAAAGACCGTGATACCTACAAGATTTCGTCCCATTTCAAGGTTGTTCAGAATTAAATCCTCTACAACATATCAAAAAATGGGCAAATCCATAGAGCCCAAAAATCCCATGTTAGGTGTGCGTTATCCTTGTTGAAAAATTCGTGAAAAATTAATAATTTTGTAGAGATTTTTTGAAACGAGAGAAAGTCGATAATTTGTTGGAAAATTCGTGAAAAATTAATGATGCTTTGTAGAAATTTTTTGAAATTTGAGGATGATATAGTTGACCCCTAAGCACATTCGAGAATAGTTTTCGCAGTCAAGTTAGGTCTGGAAAAGTCACTACGGGGGGAAGTCAAAGCATTATTAATTTTTCATGAATTTCTCAACAAATTATCGACGTTCCCCAGACCTAACTTGACTGCAAAACCTATTCTCGAATGTGCCTAATGGTCAACTCTATTATCCTTAAACTTCAAAAAATCCCTACAAAGCATCATTCATTTTTCACGAATTTCCCAACAAATTATCGACTTTTCCCCGTAGTGACTCTCCCAGACTTAACTTGACTGCAAAAACTATTCTAGAATGTGCTTAGGGATCAACTCTATCATCCTCAAACTTCAAAAAATATCTTCAAAGCATCATCAATTTTTCACAAATTTTCCAACAAATTATTGATTCCCCTCGTAGCGAGTCTCCCAATTCTAACTTCACTGCAAAAACTATTCTCGAATGTGCTTAGGGGTCAACTCTATCATCCTCAAACTTCAAAAAATCCTTACAAAGCACCATTAATTTTTCATGAATTTCCCAACAAAATATCGACTTTCCCCCATAGTGACTCTCCCAGACCTAACTTGACTGGAGAAAATATCCTCGAATGTGCCTAAGGGTTATTTCTACCTTTTCCGAATCCCAGAAATTCCCTACATATTTGATTGAGTTTCGTGGTTTTTTAATTTCTCTTTTCAATAATAATTATCTGGTCGACTATAATAGGTATACACGAATCTGAATATGAATATAAAGCTAACTTCAACCATGTCCGCAATTACTGACTTAATAATTTGCAGCAAGAAGTCCAGTATACTCTCACCTAACAGCCTCCCTACAAGGCTTGACGACAATCAGAGCATTTGGAGCTCAACAAATCCTCAAAGCCGAATTCGACAACTACCAAAACGCTTACAGCTCTGCCTACTTTATGTTTCTAGCAGCCAATAGGACTTTTGGTTTCTGGCTGGACATGCACTGTGTATTTTTCATTACTTTAGTCACTTTTAGTTTCGTTTTTATGGATACTGAAACCATGGGGGGAAACGTAGGCCTGGCCATAACTCAATCAATTAATTTAACAGGAATGTTCCAATGGGGCATGCGTCAATGGAGTGAACTGGAAAACACTATGACTTGTGTGGAAAGGATTAAAGAGTATGCGGATGTTGTGTCAGAGCAGGACAAGGATACTCACGAGCCTCCTAAGACTTGGCCTGAAGAAGGAAACATTGAGTTTGATAGGTTGAGCCTTAGGTACGCCATAGGAGAACCCGCAGTACTTAAAGACCTTACGTTTACTGTCAAGAGCAAAGAAAAAGTTGGCATTGTTGGTAGAACTGGAGCTGGAAAATCTTCAATTATAATAGCCTTGTTCAAATTAGCCATAAACGAAGGCAGAATATTTATAGACAACGTAGATACAAGCAAAATCACTCTTACAAAACTACGCTCTACTATATCAATTATTCCACAAGAACCCGTACTGTTTTCTGGTACATTACGCAAGAATTTAGATCCTTTCGATGAATACACTGATGATGTCTTATGGAACGCCTTGGAAGAAGTAGAACTTAAATCAGCTGTATCAGAATTGCCTCACGGCTTGGAAAGTATCATGACCGAAGGCGGCTCAAATTTCAGTGTAGGCCAGCGGCAATTGGTATGCCTGGCCCGAGCGATTGTGAGACGAAACAAAATTCTGGTTTTGGACGAGGCTACAGCCAATGTAGATCCGCACACCGACACTTTGATCCAGAGAACTATAAGACAAAAATTCTCGGATTGTTCTGTGTTGACCATAGCTCATAGGTTGCATACTATAATGGATTCGGATAAGGTTTTGGTGATGGATGCTGGTAGAGTAGTAGAGTTTGGACATCCTCATGAGTTGTTGGAAAATAAGGAAGATGGTGTGTTTTATGAGCTGGTACAACAAACTGGCAAAACTATGGCGGAGAATTTGATTGCGATTGCAGAAGAGGTAAGAATTTTCATTGGAATTGAAATTAATATGTGATGATATGTTTTTTTAGAGCTACAAGAAGAATAAGGGGCATAATTGATAAACAAGCCGTGCAAGATTGGTGCCAAATAATTATACGAAATTGGAGCGTTTGTTTTGGAGTTTTGGTTTTAATGAATAAAAGTCGATCTGTGATGCAAACAATACCTTTTTTGTCTTTGTACTTAATATTAATATGTAATTTATATATAAATAATTATTGTTAATTGTTTTTTACAAAAAATTTAGGTAGTTTTATTTTTATTGCAAGATCTCAAAAAGGCAAAACAAAATCAGGATAAAAATTTGATATTTTGAATTGTATTTTTGAGTCTTGAAATCCTGATTCAATTTGCTGCCTACTAGGAAAACGTATTTTGTATGTAAGCTTCACAGAAAATGAATCCTAATAGTATCATGATTTAAAGTACTCAGGAAAACCACAGTAAAGTGACCGTCAACCTCTAGGAAAAACTTGTTGACTGGTCGGAGAACAATAGAGTTTTCAATTTAATCAACATTTGTCTCACGTAATTGTTTAATCATCGACCTCAACTATAACAAACTCATCAGTCTTTCTAATTATTGGGTATTCTCTGATTGTACTAATGGGTGCGTGACTTAAAGCTTTCCGCAATAAATTATGGTCAATAATAAAAAAAGGTTAATCTGAGGCCATCAGTTAAGAGCCTAAAAATGCATACAAAATCAATTCATGCAACTTAAAAACTCTACCTGGCCCCAAACTATCTTTATAGTCATTGGATGGTACCTATACATTATTTTTAAAAGCCCTTATTTGCATACAATAACAGGGTTTGCCAGTGTGATATATGTTGCCAAATTTACTTTTGCCACATGAAACTTACTATATCCAGATCGATAAAAAGACGTAAACGTTGAAATGATAAAACGACCACTGAACTCAATATTCAAGAAGATTAACTGTATTTTTATGTATATCATCTCCCAAAAGCTGGGCTATAAACATTCAGTTTGACAACCCCGCCAAAATAATATAATTAAAAAAAAAAGTATCAAAACTGGGCGCGTACAATATACGCCCGATATGGCTTATATGGAACCTGAATTTTAAGCAGTACCTTGACCTGATCACCTTCTTTAATCATCACCTGTTATAATAATATGCAAATATTTTTTATTTCTTTTGCATAAGAATTATTTGATACCTACTTATAAGAAAACACAAAGAAAGATGTTTATAATAATGTATTACCTCCACAAAATGATAAGAATAAATTATGTAGCATTATTTGATTCTGGCTCCATATCCTGCATTATTGGCTCATTGGGTGCTTCAGAAACAACCATACTTGTTTTATCAATAATATCATCATCAATTTTTTCTTGCTTTATCTTCTTCTTTTGCCTTTTCCTAACCATTTGAAGCTCCCCAATGGTAAAAGCTCCATTGTACTTCTTTAAAATCCCTAACTCGAGGCCTCGGTTCAAGTAACCGGGAAGTTGTTCCATATTCTTGGGACTCTTGCACCGTTCCAAAATGTATTTTTTGATGATTTTCGGGGTGGCGTGAAGGCTCGCCTTTTGGAGAAACGCTATAGCTCCGATTAGAGCGTTCGCCAGTCGGATGTCGGGTTTGAAGGGCGGTAATGAAGTCGCGCGAGGTTTTTTCTCTTCGGATTTGGGCAGTTTAGTCATTTTCGTAACTTGAAATTTTTATTGCGCTTGACAGAAATGTTTGACAAAAGCTATTATTGTTACTATGGGTATTCAACAAAAGTCCTGTCTGGGCTTTGTGATTCAAAAAAGGATGGAAAAAGCTCAAAGGATTTCGTTGTGATTTGTGATACAATTTTGATTCTTTCAAATGGTAAAAAATCGCCTTAAAACTCGAATAAAGTGATGGTTTTTGCCAAAAGAGTGAGGCTCATTGAAATTTCAAAATGCCAACAATTGTTGAAGTTACCGGAATGAACACGTCATTGTCCAAAGCCAATTTCATCTTGTACCTAAAAGATAGAGCTGAATAAATTATTTATTAGGCTCTTGCTTCCAGGCCCTAAACTAGGATATTTCTGTATAAATCTTCCTACACAGCCAATGAGCCTTAGAAGTTTGTGAAGTTTACAAAGGATCCCAACATCAACTATAACTTGGTTAATTTTGGAACTAAAACCTTTTCTTCTACAGTTGATGAAAGAGTAATATCAGGATCCTCAGCTAAGCTATTTTCAGATTCATCATAGTGCAATCCGTACAAGGCCAAAGTCCTATACCAATCCATGTTTTCTATTTCATTAGTTTCATTCAATAGATTCAAAAAAGTTAATTTTAATCTGCTTTTGGTAGGCAGAGTGAAGCGTAAGCCTCATTATAAGCCAAAGGATCCCTACTTCTGCAATTTTCAAATCTAATAAGGATGCTTATTATTGGAGAGTAATCTTCAACAACATCTCCGGAAATTTCTTGTACAATTTCTTGCTATTCTTTATCAAAAAATTACAAGTCTTGCTTTGCTGGAACATTTCTTCATCGCTCGACATGCCTTCTACGTGTTTAGCTATATTGCAGGAGGAGTAAATGCTTCTCTAGCTCTTTCACGCCTGGTTCGTTTGCCTTCTCTTTTTGCAGCTCTACGAATTTTCTCTTCATCTTTTACTATTCCTTTGTTGGTAGCTTCATCAGCTTGCCTTCGGCGCTCAATAAGCAACTTTGGCATGTCTCCCATTACATCTAAATCTCTTTGCTCTAAGGTGATTTTTTCATCTAAGCATTCCACTCTTCTTCTTCTTCGTCAGCCTGTACTCGTCCACTGCTGGATGAAAGTCTCTTCCAGATTTTTCCATGTCCGTCGGTCCTCAGCAATTTTCCTCCATTGGATCCCAACGATTTGCCTGATGTCATCTCTCCATCGTCTCTGAGGGCGTCCGTCGTTTCGCTTACTTATTCGGGGTCGCCAGAATGTAATTTTAGATGTCCATTTATCTGGGTCCACTCGTGCTATGTGGCCTACCCATTGCCATTTTAATTTCGCTGTACGAGTTAGTATCTCGGTGACCTTTGTTCTGTTTCGAATGTCAGTACTGCGTTCTCGGTCTCTTAGAGTGATTCCCAACATAGCTCTTTCCATAGCACTTTGACATACGCACAGTTTTTCCTTAGATTTCTCTGTAAGGGTCATGGTTTCCAGTCCATACGTAGCAACAGGGAGTACACACGTGTCATATGTTTTTCTTTTGAGTGAAAGCGGAATGTTTTTATTTTTAAAGATGAAATCCAACTTTCCGAATGCAGCCCTGGCCACACCTATCCTCCTCTTTAGCTCGCCAGTCTGATTTTCTTTACCGAGCTTTATGACATGCCCTAGGTATATATATTGATCCACTTTCTCTACAGTGATGTTATCTATATGTTTTTTAGGAGATTTTCATTGCTAAGAATTTTCATGTTACTAAGATTCATATTTAGTCCTATCTTCTTTGACTGTGTGTTTAGTTCATTTAGCATTGTACTTAGCTATGTCGGAGCTTATCAATACAATATCGTCCGCAAATCTCAAGTTAGTGAGATGACTTCCATCTATGTTTATTCCCTTGTCTGCCCAATGTATTGTTTTAAAAACGTTTTCCAATGCTAAAGTGAAAAGTTTTGGCGATATAGTATCACCTTGTCTCACTCATTATCTTAGGGGGATTTTGTTCGTCTTCATGTCATCATCGATCTTTATATGAAACGCGTTGCTTGTTGGTATATGTTCTTTAGGAGGAGGGAATAGCGTGAATCGCTTCTGGCGTTGTCCATTGCCTCAAGAAACGACCATGTCTCGATGCTAACAAAAGCTTTATGATAATCTACAAATGCCATGTGTAGAGGGATATTATATTCTGAAGTTTTTTCTATGAGTTGTCTTATGGTCCGTAGGTAATCGGTGGTGGAAAATCCCTTGCGGAATCCTGCCTGTTCGACTGGTTGATAGGAATCGAGTTTTGTTGTTAAACGGTTCGTCATGATTTTCGTGAGTAGCTTATATAAATGAGAAAGCAGTTCTGAGCCCATGTTGAGAATTTTCCTCGGTTCTATATGTGGTTTTGTTACCTTTAGACGTAAAGAGGTTTTTATAAAAGTGCTAAATTTCGTCCACAATGGATTTCTTGTCGCTCAAATATACTCCTTGTTGATTTTTGATGTTTATAATCCTTTGTTTTCCGTTGGATGACTTGGTTTTCAGTACTTTCATATTCTTGTTGGCTTCGATTGTTTCTAAGAATTGTTGTATAAGTTCTCCAGGTCTGTCCTGTTATTTTTTCAGCTAACATGTTAAGTTCTGTTGGGTTTTCAATTAATTTCCACTCTTAGTTCTTGATAAAATCCTAATCTAGTTGCTCCTTCTGGTGTTCTGATTTTCAATTCTCCAAGTTCTTCTGTGGATAATTGTTCAAGGTTTTTCAATTTTAATTTATATCATCTCTGGAGTTGCACCTACCCAATGAGTTTCACACATCTCTCTCATTTCTGGTGTTCTAAGTATATCAGGATCTACAGATTAAGCTTTTACCTTAATAAATGTCTGTATGTTTGAGGTGGATTTATAATATTACCTTGCATTTTTGCATATTACCAGAAGTTTCTTGATCTTGAAAAGAATTACTACAAGCTCTCTGGGTCCTTATTTTTGAAACAGAAGAGCAGCGTTCTCAGGAGAACGACTGTTCCGTCTTTGGTACTTACATTTTCAACTGCATATTATTGAGAAAGACAGAACACTCGTTTTCTTGGGAACGTTGCTCTCTTTGTTTCAAGAATGAGGACCCTGATTAGAGACTATTTTACCTATCAAATTATTTTAGGAAATTTACGAAAAATACAAACAATTTTCTGCCTTTTTTATTTTCTAGGTGTTCCATCCTCTATGGTTCGACAACGAAGCTTTATTGTGGTTCGAAATTTGGAACGGTTCTGGGATTGCGCATAGAACTGCCCGCACAAAAAAAATAATAGAGGTCTGTTCTAATCAAAGGTTCTAATACAAATTCTGAATCGATTCGGAACCAAAAAAATCAAAACAAGCCGGTTATCACAAAATTCCAAAACAGTTCCTGCTTCAGAGCAAGAACTGAAAGAACCGTTCTAGAACAATCCCTGAATTGTTCTTATAGTTCCAAATAAATCAAAACGCTGCCAACACAGTTCGATTACGATTCTGAAAAAACGAAAATGCGTTTTATAAAGTGCGCATGTGCAGAATGAAGGGCGAATCCTCACGGGCGTAATTGACGTAAGCGTAATTAATCACGTGATTTAATTTGTACGATTTCATTGGCGGCATTGCAGCCATCTTGAATTTTTGACATCACGCTGCTGTTACGGCAAAAAGTTGGGATTTGTTGAACTTTTTGGCGTTATCGTGGCGGAGTTGTGACGTTTGTTTTTGTAACCAAGTTATCACTAGCATCCCGCAAGAATCTCTTGATTTTCCGAAGACATATTCGTACTCAAAATCTTCGTTGCATTATAGTTGCATTTTTTCTTCATATTTTTGCATTTCCACGTATATTTTGTAAAGTTCTTTGAGGCGCCTCAGTAAGTTGCTTTTAAAACTCAAAGGACAGCTTTTATGTTCAACAACTAATGCTCCTATTATGATAGGTACTTAACAAACTTCTACTCCTCATCACTCTTTATTTTATTTTGGCACTATATTATACTGTCCTAAGAATAATCACAACATAAAACCTAAGGAAAAACTACAACAATAAATTAATAAATTTGAATTACAATCATAGACTAATATAGGGGGTAAATAGACTGGACTCTCTAATGTTGACATATCATGTCGTATTTAAGCGCCCTCTGTTGACTGAGAGTGAACTTGAAACACATTTGAAATGTCGAATGAACGACAAAACCAAATGACAATGACATTTCCGATGAAGGATTCGGTATTAGGCAATTCAATCCATCTGTCAAACAGGAAAATTCAATGTGGCGTGGCGGCCAAGCAAGTTTGTTTTGGATATGTTTTTATGCGTATTTTAATAGCTATTTATACAATAAGTTGCGAAATGAGTGTCTTTTAGGCACGCGACGTGAAAATTGTCCAACGAGGCAAAGCCGAGTTGGACAACACGTCGAGTGACTAAAAGATTTCGTTTCGTAACCTATTGTATACAAGATTTTTTCTACTGACGTTTCATAATAAAAAAACACAATTTTATTTCAATGTTTGTCGCCTGCTTTTGCTTGACACCTTTCATGTTGGTGACTAATATTCATAATAAATACAAAACAAAATTCAAATTTGCATTTAGTGTGTTTTTTATTTCTGAACAATGAATAACACTTTTAGGCACTAGTGCTTAAAAGTTACTTTTACGCACTTGAAAGTCGCTTTTACGCATTTGAAAGTCACTTTTACGCACTGGAAAGTCACTTTTACGCACTGAGTGCCTAAAAGTCACTTTTACGCACTGAGTGCTCAAAAGAATGTCATTTCAAAACTAAAATGACAATCGAAAAGTTGCTATTATGAAACGTCAGTAGAAAATAGTTATTTACCTAACAAATGCGGAAAGTTGTCGTTTTCATAACCTCTGTTTTATGAGACCAGCAGAGCCATCAGCGGTCACGAGTGAACTAAAAAAGCTGGCTCAAAGCGGTAATATGAGTGCGCGGAGCATGATTACAATCCTATCAAAAAATAAACAAGACATTTAGGAGCAGGTTAGAAAATTATTTGCTGTTTGGTTTTGATGCACTCCATGCGGCCCATGCAGGTTGTGTAACGCCAAAATTGGCGTAGAATTGACGTTCATGCCGATTGCGCTAATTACGCCCACTGTTGCCAGATGAAATTAAAAAAATTCGTGAGAAAAATGATGAGAGAAAAATCGTGAGACCTAAAATTGCTAGTAAGAAAATAATGCACAAATTTCCTTCTATGAATTTTTGATAAAGTAGACATGATTTTACATCCAAGAAATAGAAATTTCAATATTAAATCTTGTATTCTTGTTTTTTCCGTTTTTTAGCAGGTGTTTCTGAGAGGTGAACCTCGT